TTTCAGAAAAACACGACAAAAAGGGCACCGAGCCCGTTATGGTCCATGGGTTCGAAGGCTAGGCCCCCAAAGGTTTCGACAGTCGCCCCAGGACAACAGAGTCAGGGACAGCTATGGGCGAGCTCGTACATGGCCGGGGCCCGAGCAGGCGATCGCTCGGGATGCCCTAAGTCGTGTCCGAGATCAGCAGAGAGTTCTTCGGATGGGATCCCACCGTAGGGTGGCGCCGAGCCCCCGGGGCCAATCGAACGGCCCTAGGACCCACTAGAGAAGCCCTATGGTATTTTTGGGGTGCGTCTCTGGACCACTAGCCGACCTCTATCGAATGGGGCACGGGCCTCCACTCGGACTTACCCGATAGCAGCTCACCGGAAGCGTCACCGCTCGCGCCCACCGAGGGTAGCCTGGCATATTCCACCACTCCTTCCGAGCGAAAAGGATGCGTGAGGGTCGCATAGAAAGCCAGGGGAACTCTCGACCGCCTCTCGCTCGCAAGCGGAGGCTCGGGGCTCTCCCTCACGAACCTTGCCGAGACCCAACGACCTAGGCTCGCACTCGAGGGGCTCGGCAAACAAACCCTCTCTTCCGAGCGAAAAAGGATGCGTGAGGGCCGTCCAAAAAAGACAGGAAACCATCGATCATCCTCTCTCCATCCATGCGAGGCTCGGGGTTCTTCCTACAACTAGGCCAAGTCCCAGCGACCCGAACTCGCATTCATGGGCCCAACAAACACGATAAAACTTCTTGTTCAACGAAGAAAAAAGCCCCTGGAGGAGTAAACCCACTCCTCCAGGGCCTCGGGGGCTACACCCGGCGGGTGCGCTCGCGCGCACCCACCAGAACCATCAACTACAAAACACAATCCCGATGGGAGCTCATTGAGCCAAGTCTCGTCAAAACCTCAGGAAAGTGCCCGCACTCCTCCCGAGGCTTGGGGGCTACTGTCGGATACCACAAGAGGGGGTACCCTAAGCAAGAACCAAAAATATTGCTTGAGCCTTGCAAAAGTCAAAGCCGAAGGACAACCACAAGGTCTTGGCCATTTCTCCGATTCACCCGAGGCTTGCGCCAAGCCTCAGCGAAAGGCCAAAGCCCTCTCTTGCCTGGCCGAGGTTCCTCTCGCCGAGGCCCCGCCCATGCAAGGCCTCGAACGGGATGCCAATTCTCCGACTCGCCCGGGCGGGCTCGCAACAACCTCGCTACCTCCATCCCAACCGGCTCCCGACAAAATGTCGCGTCCCAGATTAATGCGCCAACTACTCTCCTCGCAACGTCACCAAGACACCGGCACGAGTCGGGCGTAACGACCGACGGGACAGGGGATCGGCGCAGCAGGGTTACTCGCCACTATGCTCATCATCGCCTCTCCGCCGACACCCGTCATCGCCTGTGCTACCTAACCCCGCGCCAAGGACAAAGCAGCGTGGAAGGTCAAGTCCACGTCCCCTCAGTAGTCTCGAAACAAAGCAGGAAAGACCAACTGCTCGTCCTCCGCCTCGTCCCGAGACCCCGGCAGGCCTCTCGGACGATTTTTCCTCCTCCGCTTCGGCCGAGGCCGGCTCATCCTCATCCTCGTCGTCTCCGCCTCAACCGCCCCTCTAGCGAGCCGTCCCCATCCGTGTAAGTGCGCTTCAACACACCTACTACGCCGCCCACGATGGGCGGTACAAAGAATAGAGGCGATGGACGCGGCACAAATCGCCTTTTTTACCATCCCCACTCGACGGCAGGTGCGGGGATTATCGTGCCTCGTGGACACCCGCTCCGCGCTTTTCCTACCTAAATCGGGTACGACGTGGACCACCGAGACCCCCGCACCGTACACCGGTCACCTCCGAGGCCTCGGCAGAAAGCAGTGCCTCGCAAGACGATCACCACAAAGACCCGCTAGGCCTCGGCACTCCACCAAATCAAGAATCCATGAGGCACGCGGCATGTCTCCTACCGTGGAGGCCATACCGACTAGACATCAACAAGGACCCCACGACCTCAACAACCTCAAGCCCGCCAACACGCTGCGTCACCAAGTACCAATCGCCATTCCCAACACCATGTCACTCACAGGATCGAACTACATGGGCTCCACGTGTAGCTCACTCATGTACTCCCGCTCCCTCCTTGCGGTTATAAAAGGAAGCAGCCAGGATATAGCCTGGGGACAAGAAAAACATACGGAAGAACCACGCCTCACACACGCCAAGCAAACAACACTCAGACACACGCTCCCCCAAAGCGCCCCGAGAGCAACGTCTCAAGCGAGCCTCATACATTCCACGCCGAGCCTGGGACTAGCTCCCTCTCTCACCTAGCTTGTAACCCCCTACCACAAGCACTTCGGTGCAAGGAATACAAGATCGATCTCTCAGATTGGACGTAGGGCGCCAATTGCCTGAACCAGTATAAACCTTGTGTCTCTTTGCATCACCATCCGGGATTAGGGGCACGCAGCTCAAATTCACTGGCTGGTTGAGGACCCCTCGGTCCGAAACACCAACAACCCTGCTACAAGATTTATTCTTCATCTTCTAGCAGGCTCGGGGACTAAGTGGCTACACTTCACCTGACGATGAATGTAGTGTTTATTTCTTGATTTACCCTCCTTATTGACAGAGTCTAAGTGACTACACTTCTACTAAGTAGAAGAATTTTCAAATTTTATTTTGAGCCCCTTATATCCTTCTGGCAAGCCTTACTTGGCTAAGTCCAAGGTCTCCTAACCAGTTAAACTGGTCGGCATTGACTTTCACCGCTCAGGTCACCTGTTAAACTGATCGGCTTTGATTTTCACCGCCTAGGTCGCCAGTTAAATTGGTTGATTTTGACTTTCACTATTCGGATCACCAGTTAAACTGATCGACTTCACGTCAAACTGCTCAGACTTGTTCAAGACAGCATTGCTCAAAGGATACAAGGCGCTCGGAGACTAGCTGTGGGGGATATACCCCCGGTATCCATAAGACAAGACGTAGGCCACGCCCCAAAGGTGGTCTAGCTTATAAAATCAAGGCGTGCATCGCAAGACTACATGAAGATGTAATTTACTGTATAATATCAAATATGATATTTTCCTTATAACCCTACCCCTCTAGAGTATATATGGAGAGGCAGGGGTCCCCTAGACCATATATCGAATCTGATATACAATCAATATAAACCAACAGAGCATAGGATGTAGGGTTTTACGTCACATTGACGGCCTGAACCTATATAAATCTTGTGTCTTGTGTCTCTGTTACCATTTAGTTCCTGATCGCGCGCACCTCTACCGATCAATCTATCTTCGTGTGATACCCCTCGGAGGACTGTCGAGCATCTTTTGTCGATAGAGTTGTACAGTAGCATCTAAAAAAATCATAAAATTAAAATAAAACATAATAAAACTAAAAAAATCATAAAACTAACTCATGGTCCTTTTTTAGCTTTAAGGCAGCCTCCGTATTCAGGATAGGTACAAGTACAACCAAGGAATTCCGGCAATTCACTGAGCAATTTTTACAAGCATTGATGACAAACATTTGGTATAGAGTCTAGAGATGCAACAAATTAACCCAATATATTCCAAACAAGAAAAAAACATTTGATTCTCTTTGTCGATATCCATGCCATACTCCCTCCGCCACTAATCTCCACAATCACATCAGTGCCATACTCCCTCCGCCACTAAAGCATATCAATCCACATTTGCTTTGCTTTGTCGATATCAAATTTCCTTGCTTTCAGAAATCTCTAGAGCATATTTAGCTGGATTTATATAGCTCAGCATCATATGATAGTCATTATGTCTTGCAGGCAACAACTCATCAAAGAGTAGTGCTTGTCTAAATGCTTCAACAGCTCCTCTAGATCGCGCACGTACTTGGTCTCCTGTTTTATTTACCTCCCTAAATTATTCCAAGAGGTTGGCATATCACAAATGTTCTCAAACATTTAAATTAGCTAATGTAAAGTACAATGTAAGCCATTTATTGTGCCATCATTTTAGCAAGCCAATCATTTACACATAAATATGTGAAATCGAGCAGCATCAGATGCTTACTATCAGTGGAATCAAGAAATGCAGACAACATGTAGTAATTTAGTAGGGCAGCTATGATAAAACCTAATGATCCAAAACTGCAGCAACATATATAACAAACTACAAAAGACAGAGAACACTGTATGAAGCCCACATTCACATCATTGTACTATGGCTTTGCTTTCCTCTTCTGGCCATAGCCTTTCTTCTTCCCTTCTACATGTAGAAATTAGTTGCTCTAATTTCAGTTGAACTTTCCCATATTCTATTTCTGAATCAAAGATCTTGGTTGCCCTTTACCTACATAAGGTTGCAGTTGATGCGATCTTCACTTCTTATCCACAGTTTCCTGAGATTTCTAGATAGAATATGCTTCTAAAAGAACTGTTAAATCAAAACTATAATCTAGACTAGAGGAACATAGAACATGTTGTGGCCTGTGATTGTTCTCCGTTGATAAAAAAATCAGTTTCTATGAATACTCAAATAACAATTAGCTCACAAAATTCAGATCTGCAACTTAGTCCTCTAACGCATACAATTGAAAAGGAAAACCGACCATAGATGCTGCCTGAAGCTTGTCATTTTCTTTTGACATCACCTTGCAACCTCTCTACAAAGCTCACATCTCTTGCACACATAGCCAAACAAGAACAAACTGCAGTCAATAGAGTATATAATTTGGCTTCAGAACTTGAGTATATATCCAGCTTTATTTAACCAAATCGCAATCACACATTAGCAAAGCAAGATCATGACCATGACTTGTTTAAAAAATAATGATCACTGAAGTGTTGAACCTGAGTTGCTATCAAGATTTCCAGAACTGCTAGATTTTTTAAGGAAGTTGAGAAGTCACTGCTACATATTCAGAGAGTTAATTGTTGAACATTTACATAGTCCATACATAGAAAATGCACTGCTTTTCTACTTACCTACACAAAAATCAGTAGCAACAACATCATCTGCAAATTTTATTCTTCTATTATATCCAGCCCTCTCTATTGCCTTTTTGAAATGGATCTTCAACTTTCTGCAAACAAAAGAAAATCTGAAGTGGAACTTGAACTTTCTTAACAATTCATTTACTTGAAGACCCTATCTTACCAATTCATTTATTGGAACAAACAAAAGCCAGGTTTTAGTAGTAACATTTCTAAGGTAAAATGATTACGGACAGTATAGGATAGCTTACCATTTCTGTAATCACAGTGGGGGCAGCAGGATACTTTGCATTTCTCCCTCACTTTTTTCAAAGTCAAGGTGATTTGAGTACTGTCACCATCCTACTGCAGATGGTGTGAAAGCAGAGGCAAATCTTTTCAAGATCAAGAAATTGGAAAGTGCAGATTGATGTTTCGCCATGACGAAGATAGATGATCTATACGTAGTGGGTCTTTATGAGCAAAAATGAAATTGCTAACCGCGGGGTCACTTGATTGGAATGGAGAGTGCACCTCTACAACGTCAGGTCTGATGCATATCTGTTTGAGGTCTGCAATCTTCATCCTGCACTCTAGCTTCTTCTTATTGGACAGGCCTCCATCCTTCTTCTTATCGGCCTTCTCCGACATGTACTCTACCTCCACCTCCACCTCCGCCCCCATTTTTCACCCCAATTCTCATCCTCGACAGGCAGTGCTAGGCACTTTGTGGCGGAGTCAACATATATTGGGGGGAATAAGCCATGTGTTTGCACGGAATCCATACGACAAAATTCCCAAACTGCAAATGCAGAAAAGGTTATTCTCACCAAGAGTTCTCGAACTACATCATTCAATTTAATATTCAGTACAATAAAATAAAAAAACAATGGCAAAGCATATTCACTATTATAACCTTGTTGTGACACACTAGACCTTTCATAAAAAATGCATGATAACAACCAGTCATATAATTTATCAGGCTGCAGGTTTTTGCACGGAATCCATATGGCAAAATTCCCAAACTGCAGGTTGTAACTCAATTGTTTCCCTCCTTTTTTGCCGGTCTTTTTTTTTTGTTTTGTTTCATAAGCTATTCTTATACCAGTCATATAATAATTTGTACCAGTACAAATAAAAACATGAAGTAAAGAGAGGTAAGCACAGAAGATAATGAAGATTTAAGGTTACTAACATTAGCAAACGCATTGCTGAGTTGTTGCAGCAGGTCCACCAGGGAGTGGCTAACGTTGTGTGGCTTCCTTGCCAAGTAGAAACTGAAGCAACAACTTGCAGAAGCTTCCCATTGCAAACCTTCACCTGGGCACAAACGAACTCCTTCATTAGGCGTATGCTCATACCCACACATCTAAATCGGTTGTTGCAAGTTTGCAATTCAACTCAATAGTGCAAATCAAATTGATTGGCTATCGTACCAATGTGAATGAACTCTAATTTTGCTAGTGCATTCAAGTGTGCATGAGAACTCACCTCGATTTCCAAGTAATCGCCTTCCTAAGAAGGGCCATTCGCCTCTTTCCTCATGATAACGGCAGAAATGACGCACGCACCTCGCCGCCACCACCACACAGGCCTCCGCCTGCAACGCCGCACACGGATCTGCTGCCGCAACCACGCTTGACTCAGCTAAAACACTAAGGGCTCTGGTGAACCCGGTCTGCATTCCTCCCTCATCGCAGATACAACGCGAAACCCTCAAAATCCTCACCACCGCAAAACCGCGCAGAAAACCACAAGCAGAAATCGACCTCACACAACTACCCAAACCACATCGGCGGAAATCACACACTGCGCGGAATTCCACAGCTGGGACCCGCACCGGAGCTCACCTGGGTCGGATCTGGACGAAATCACGAGCGCGGGGCGCCTTTCGAACGCCCGCCGTGCTCCCTCTAGCTCTGCTGCCACGGAGGCGCAACGTGCAACCACGACAAGCTCAACCTTGGCATCGACAACGGCGCGCCACGCCTCGGCGAGCTTCGTGTTCGCCGGCGTGCCGTGGGCCGGGAGATCCTCCGTGAGCAGGCCGTGTGATTAGCTTGGAGCGTTGAATCGTGGTTGGCTTCGAGCGTTGAATCGCGGTCGCGGAGTGTGAGGAGGGCGCGGGGGTGAGAAAGTGGGGTGAGAAGCCTGGCATCCCACATCCAATCGTGGCTATCGGATTTGGGTTAGGTGTTTTATTAGCCCTTGATTTTAATGGAGATGAATTCCTATGTGTAATTTTATGGGTGCATGTGGGGGTACGACCCCGGATACCCACGACAGACTACATGGCTGCGCTGCCAGGGGCGGTCTAGCCCACAAGACGAAGACTTACGGTGCACGATACTGCTCAGCGCGTACCGCAAGACATCAAGGGCGATATCCTGAAGATGCTACGAGATCTGTTAGGATATGCTCGATCCCATGATTTCTGTAATCTGTTATTACTTACCGGTTATCTCCTAGATCTAACCGACTTATAACCCTACCCCCGGCTATATAAGGCGGGTAGGGGACACCTCAAAATACACGTAATATCATACGATAGCCAATACAAACCGATGGACTATAGGAGTAGGGTATTACGTCGTGCTGACGGCTCGAACCTGTCTAACTCTTGTGTCTCTGTTACCTTCTTGTTATCGATTATGCGCACCTCTGTTGATCATTCTACCTTCGTGGGATACCTCTCGGAGGACTGTCGACGATATTCTGTCTACAGTTGGTGCGTTAGGTAGAAGTATACGTGTTATTTTTATACTAAAAAGTAGTTTTAAATAAGCTCAAACGAACAGGGCGAAGAGCTTTGCGTTTAGGCTACTACCTCTCTCCTTCTGCGAAGTGCTTGAAGCACCGAGCGTTTCAGACTTTCAGTGGCGTCGTCGACCATGAGGCAGCTAGCTCGTCGCAGCAGCCGTCATTCTAACATTGTGTACTTAATAAAAAGCTAAGCATGTGTTTGGATAGAGGGTAGGAGTGGGTAGGTTGGGTCCAACCTCTTTTTCAGAGTGTTTGGTTTGGAGTTCGGGTTGTGTTCATCCTAGAAAAAAATATTTTCAATAGACGTGGGTTCATCCGATTCCACTTCTATATTATTATTGTGTATTTTAATATAAAAGGCTAAAATTGCTCCTCATAGGTGTCATTCATAGAAAACAAAGACATTATAGCAAAAAAAAAATACTTCCTCCATTTCAATTATAAATTGTTTTGATTTTTTTTGGTACGTTGATTTTGCTGTCTAAATATATAGTAAAATAAACGTAAAAAAATTTAAAGCAACTTATAATTTTAATCGGAGTGACTATTTGATTGATCCACAATCGTATCTGTAGGGTCCATGTGTCAGCGGGAGACCGCCTAGGCAGCCCGTGGAAACGTATCTCGTCAACGGTCAACACCCCGGCACCAGGGCCCGCCACCCCCACCCCTTTGCAAACTTCCATCCGACCCCTCCATTTCCCCCACGCGTCCCCACTCGGCCCCAACGCCGCCGCGCCGGCGATGAGCGCGAAGCAGCTCCGCGACGCCCTGGCCGCCGCGGGGTTCGACGGCGACGACCCCCTCGACGCGGAGAGCCTCGAGTGGGCGTTTCTCCAGGGGGAGGTCTCCCGCCGGATGCTCGCGTGGGTCTGCGCCCGGCTCCGCCCCGGCAACGTCCTCTCCGCCACCGACCTCGAGCTGTACGGACCGATCCCCGCCGAAACCCTCGCGCCTTCGTTAATTCCATGATATGATATGATCGCAGTTGAATGCACGGTGCGCGGGGGCATTTTTTTTTTTTTGGTTGCGAAATTAGTCTGGGCCCTGGGGACTGAATTGGCGGAGACGAGGCTTCCAGATTTCGGGTGTGCGATGCGGGAGGTATTAGGGCGTGGCTGGGCTTTGGTTTAGAATTTTGAATTGGTCGAAATTGGCTTCACGAATTGTTGGTTACGTTGCAAAAATGCTTGGAGGGAGTATGATGTGAAACTTGGGGAAGTGACGGGCTTGCATGAGAAGGCTCACACACTTTGCATATGCATGCTTTGATAACCGTGCATGATTAAGCTAAAACGGATCTATCAGAAAGGGATTGCTGGAATTTGTCCGTAGTGAAGCATACTAAGTGCTACGATGTGATGGCATAACTTATAACGAGCACTCTCAAAAAAAAACTTATAACGAGCAAAGTTGCGCATGAAAGTATTAAACGAAAACATCATTTTGCTATTGAATCATTCATTGTTTAGTTTGTAATGGCTCTCAGGCTAATACCTGCTGCAACTGTTGCATGAACTGCAGGTACGAGCAGCTTGAAATGGAAGGCAAGTTATTGGAGGTATGCATATTTTGGTTTCATTTTTTTGGGTTATTTCATAAGTCACTTGCATTGTGAATTATATGTTATGATATGAGTAGCGAGATCCATTAAAACCATTGTAGATAGTAGATTCAGACGCACGTGCATTGCTTTCATTTAACTCAAACTGTTAGCTCTATAAAGCGAGACCTGCCCGCTCCTGATTTGGTTGCCATTTTCAGGGGGAAGACTTGGATTTTGCTTTTGATCGTATTTCGGCTTTCTCAGACAGTGGGGAGAATCAGGAATACAAATTCTTGACGGACGAAAGTCTTGAAGACATCCGGTAGGCTGTCTCGTTCGTTATAGGAATTGACGAGCTACCGTTATGTCCTGCTTCTTAGAGCTGCACTTTCCTTACAACCCTTGCAAATATACCCAATATATCTTTTCTTATAAGAAATTGTTGTGCTCTGGTTTTGTCTTTCTTTTTTTTCCTGGAGTTTTACCTGCATGAGTATGTCATTTCGAGGTACCTCCTGTTCATTTCGTTTTGCACATGATATACGATGAATTGATGCCTAAGTTCCTAACTTAGGCAATGGTTGAGTATTTGACTCTTAACATAACGAGTCTGACCTTGCTTGGATATCAGACAGTTTAGTGGGTCATATAGTGCAGTGTGACAAGGTTTGCTATGTTAGAAGATGCTTATCTTGTTAGCAGTTTGTTTTGATCTCTCCATTTATGGATGATTTTCTTTATTCTTCTAGTGAGTCAAAGCTTGCTTTTAGAGCTGAAGTTTCTGATTTGGAAAAGCAGCTTGCTTCTCTGGAGTGGAAGCTTGATATACTTACAGCACAAGCTACCACCATTAACCAGGGAAAGAAGTTCCGCTCATCTGCTAATACTAGAGCTAATGGACAACTTACTGGCTTAGATGAGATATTTGCTAAGAGAAGTTTAGAGGTAACGTTCCTTGGCTTTGTCCAAAGTAAGTAAACCATACTACTATGCTACCCAATCCATACCTAATTTCATTAGATGTTACTGGGATGTCTGTTGCATATCATACCACAGTAATCATATCTGGCTTAGAACCTGTCATCCATTGCCTGCTCTATAATCATGGAAACATTGCAATCTGTGTTGATTATCCATGTAACATTCCTAGGCTAGTATTTTGCGATTTTCTGAGGGCTGAGGACTATTTCTATCCACTAAAAAACAGGCTATCTTGATAGGTGCTGACAAATAACAGGGTTTATTGGTCTATTTGGTCCACAGGTTATTTATCCATTTTGTGTTGTTTTCTTTTGATGTTGTTTTATGTCAGTTCCTAACTAGTTGAACCCAAGTTTATGCTTCTTTCTGACATGTTCTATTCTTTCCTATAGAA